CAGGAAAAATTACAATGACAGCAATGAGGATTGAATCTAAGCTCTTATGTATCTATCTCAATCTCCCGCCCGTCAGAGCTTGTGTTCAATAGCAAGATAATCCTACTACCTAACTTTTTCTACATGTTTTTTGATCAACAAACTAGTGATGCAATATAAAATGATAAATATAAATGCTTAATTTAGGGACTCTGAAAAAGCTTCTAGATTCAACAAAAAGAAAAAACTAGCAATGCAGCATCCATTGAAGAAATTTCTTATTTTATAACATGGCTTTTTAACTTGCTCGATCTGTTCAACAATTGGCCATTGCTTGTTATTGCCTCACACAACTTTCCACTATAAGTAATAGGTATTATTTTGAATCTAGAGTTCAGAAAAGCAAATGCAACAGCCTTGTCCATGTTCACATTTATTCCTAGTTTAGTTTTGCAAAAGCAACTAAAGGGTACAATTCACCCGACTTTAAGAACTGTTACAACTATTGAAGATACAGTTCTGTGAAAGTCAGCAACTAGCCCCAAAAAAAGTATAAAAATAACAATAAAAACAATAACACCGGAATCTCCCCCACTATTTCCTTTCTCTTTTTTCTCCGTGGCCTTCCTAAAGGAGAATATTTGTTGTACAGGTACAAAGAAGCAAGTTAAAAAGATTGTAGCGCATCTCAAAAATAAGTTCCACTATTACAATCTCACCCTCCAATAAAATATACAAAACGCATTATTCTCTATGAAACAAGTTACTCGACAGAATTCAAAATTTACCAAGAAACAAAACCAAAACGTGAGAAACATAGGTAAAAAAAATTCTCTAGGAATATTATATTTTAATTAGTAAACCAAACTTAGAAAACTAACTAAAACTAACTTTTCCAATTTCAGATTCCTAAAAGAGAAAGTAATTGTACCAAAAGCCTCGTTGGTTTAACACTAAAAACAAAAGAAGAAAGATATATTATTATTAATTCTATAGCAACATGAATCTAACATTGAGTGGTATATAATAATAATAATAATAATAATGTTCACAAATGCAGCACTGCCCTTAAAGTTTATTCCCGAGCCTGCATTGTTCATTTTCCAAGAAGAAGTAGAAGAAATAAACCAACTAACAAAGCATAAAAATGGGAACAAAAAAGTGAGGGTTGAAGAGAAAGCAAAAAATAAAGCTGAAAATAGATTATGGTGACCACAGAATCTAACCAGAAGATGAAGCAGCTTGTGGAAGAAAATGGGGTTGTCTTCTAGTGATCTTGTGAGAAGAGAAATGCAGATGGGTAGGTGATGGGAGTGAGAAAGAGTGGCCATGGCTCAATGGCAGTGTTGAATTTGAGATTCTTTTGAGAAGAACAATTTTTGTGGATTGTGAAAAGCATAGTGTTGTGGAAGCTGCTACAGCTCCAAGCATTTTAAGGTAGGATTGTGTATGCTCAGCAATGATCCTTGGTAATAAAATATTGAAGTAGATTAATATATGAATATCATAAGATTTGAACAATCTGAATTCTGAACTGAACTACTCTTACTTCGGTCTTTCCGCCCGTGTTATTAGCATAATTTAACCGTCATATCTTGTTGAAGTGAGTTTCTTTTACGGTTGGATTTTTTTTAGGTGTTAAAATGTTTTTTTTTTAGTTTAATTTTTATAATTTAAAATAGATATTTTTAATTTTTATATTTATATTTTTTAAATTATTTTTAGTCTTTATTTTTAATTTTTTATAGCATAATTTCCATGTGAGTGACATAACTTATTAAATTTACATGTTGGTGATATATTTAATTTTTGGATGGTCATATTTTAGAGTTTTTAAAAATTAGTTGAGTTGAATTCAACTTAGATTGAAAATAAAAATTACACTCAAAAACTTTTTCTTTTTTATTGGAATGCATTTTTTTTTTGTTGAACGTGATTTTAGATTAATATCAAAATTTATATCTATCGGTTTTTTTTTTTTATTCGTCCCTGGAGTATCCACTCCCGACAGCAATGACTAATCTCCTCGCTACATACACAAGGCAGGATTCGAACCCCTGACCTTGCTTAAGCGTGGATCAACCCCTACCAGTTTACTGCACACTCATCTGAATCACATTTAATCATAATAAATATTAAAGGTTCACAAAATCATCTTGAATCTTCACTTTTTTTTCTTCCAAACCATTAAATAACACATAATCATCTACAAAACCAAATAAATTATCATCACCTAAATTTAATAAGTTTCACTCTTATGAAAACAACATTACAAAATTTAAGATTGGCCCAAGAGTGAGACTAACCAAACCCTCACTTTAGGCCCTCTTCAAAAGAATATTCTGTTAAATACTTTTTATAATTTTTTTTTCAAAGTTCCATAATCTAAAAATCATTTTTAATATTTTTAAAAATTCACTTTAAAAGGTCTATTTTTAAAAGATATACTAATATAATTATTTTTTCAAGACTCATCTCTAAAATATTTTTATTTTTTATTAAAAGATATTATTAATTTTAAAAAATTTCACTTTAAAACCTGTTTTATAATAATATATTAGTCAACTCTGACAAAAATTAATGACAGGAACTAAAAAAATTAAATATATATATATATATATATAAATAAATAATTTTAAAAAATTATTTTAAATTATTAAGAATAAAAGGTAAATTCAGCTAAATCATAGAATCTAAAAATGTATTTTAACCTTTTTCTTTTTAACTTGAAAGTTACTCTTATTAGTTTATATATAGCCATAAAAAAATAAAAATAAAAAGTTACTTGTATTCAATCTCTTTTTCTGAAAAGTTACTTTTATCTAGTTATACGAATCCTGGTCCCATGTTGTCTAGTATAAAGAGAATATGTTTGCTGGTCCTCACATTTTTTGCTTTTGTTTTGTTGGGGAGATCTGTGTTAAAGTAATCTGAAATTATATTTCGTTTACACACACAACAGTAATTCGAATCTAATACCTCAAATAAATTACCAAAATTTCTCATCCCTAACCCCGATCTTGTGGCTGAGGAAGTTTTTTTTTTTTTTTTTTAAATATTTTTAGATTTGATAAAAATTGATAGAATTGAATGAAATTAATTAACATAAAGGAATATATTATTTTATTTATGCTATTTACATAAGTACCCTTATATATTCAATAACTCAATCCAACTTAATCTTTGATTTACTGTAAAATGATTTGAGTTAAATTGGACTCAATTGTTTGTTGAGTTAAAAATCTCAATTCAATTTAATTTGTGATAAATTACATATTAGGTTAGATTGATTTGTTACTATTTTAAAAAAATATATAATATTTTTATTTTATTTATCTAAGTTTTCTTTAAAAAAATTTAAATAAATATATCATATAAAAATAATAATGAATCAAATGTTCAATGGAGCATGTATTTAATAAGCTTATCAACAACATTAAAATAAATTTGCAATATAACACAAATAAGTTCATTAACAACGATAAAATAAATACATAATTAAATTAAAAATAAATCTCAATAAACAAATGAGTTATAAATAAAAAATATCATAAGTTAATATCAATAAATAAAAAATCAAAGAAAAATATGCTAATTCAATGAACCAATCCAACCTAACCTATCATTTGACCTATTGAATTTGTGAGTTGTACGAATTGAATTATGTGTGTTAATGGATTGAAAAGTGTAACCAAATTCAATTTATTAGATAAGTTATGCAGATGATTTGTTAAGTTAAATCCATTTTAACCATCTTAAATAAAATAGTGAAATTTAAAACAACTTTCCTCAAAATTATTGAAACTCAAATATAATAGAAAAATATGTTTTAAGTCATCAAAACTTGGCCAACTTGAAATGAATGTTTTCAACGCTCAGAAAAATTCTCTCTTGTATAAATTAAATTATTGATGAGGTTAATAATTATATTTTTGACATATAATTGAAGAGTTAATAAAATTGTATAAAAACTTAAACGACGTTGATTAAAAAAAACAATTCATAACATTACGTGTATTATCAACAATTAATTATATGTTGCGTTATAAAAATGACACCATTTAAAGAATTGAAAATAACTATTATTAAGAAAATGAAAAATATATAATATGTTAAATGTCCGATGTTACTCTAAACTAACTTCAACCAAAATAAATTACAGTTCATATTTATGATTTTAATACTATATATAAAAATATTATTTATAATAAAATATAAATTAACAAACAAATTAATGCTTTAACTATTTTATATTTTAAATAATATTATATTTTCTGGGAGAAGAATTAAATTACACTTGTATAATTTTTATCAACTATTATATTCTCAATAACTTTCAATTAAATGATTAATTTTCAAAATTTATTGTTAGATTAAAAATTTACATTTCCTAGATCATATATAAAAAATGTTATATTAATCCATAATTATTTGATATTATATTTATATAAATCAAAATTAATATAATATATTTTTTAAAATATAAACAATTTGATTGTCTTTCTATTCTTGTTTAATTTTAATAAAATTTAACTTAAAGTAATATAATATGAGTTAATCATCTATACACTGCCGGTGTAAAAATTCTTTACACTAACAATTAATTAGATCTTTTAATTGTGTCATGTCATGTTAAAAGTAAATGTGCTTATAGTGACATGACACAATTAAAAGATTTAATTAGTTACCAGTGTAAAAAAACTTTACACTGACAATGTATATGTGATTAACTTATATAATATACTAATTTAATAGTTGGATCAACAAAATTCACTTTTTATATAAAATTATCAAACAATATATATAAATATAAAAGTTATACTGATATAATTTGATTTTTTCTTTATTTTTTGATATAATATTTATATTTACACAAACTTCTGCAAAAATGAACAGATATTATAGTACTCCAATACAAATCAAACTCATCAATGAGTTCACAACAATTTGTAAATGAACTAAACTCTTTGTTCATAATTTCTGATAATAAAAAAAATGCAAACTAACATTTAGTCATTAAAAATGATGATTTACTCACATAATATGTGACAGTCTAGTTATATATTTTTAAGAATTGAAATCTTGATTTACTCCTTAAAAAATATTTATTACACATAATATAATAAATACAAAGAAAAATGATTTGACTAAAAAAATTAAAAGTGAATTTTTTTAAGTGGACTATTTTTTATTGAGAAGGTGTATTTATTACACTATTCATTAAATTCTTTTTTAAAACTTTGAAGACACTTGTAAGCATTTTTTTCAAAAAACAATATGCTATGTTTGTTTACTCAATTATAAGTTATTTCCTTTAGTATTTATTATTATTTCCTTTAGTAGTTATACAAATTAATATAGGTATTTTAAATTATAAAGTACAAATTTTATTATTCTTATTTATCATTAAATTTTCATGTGTGAGAAGTAAATACTACTTCATGTTAAAGTTTATGCATCAATATCTATAAAATTGATAAATATGATAATTAAATGATAAAGTAAAAGAAATAAGAAAGAGAATATTTATTCAACAACAATAAATATATATTCTCACAATCTTTAATATGAGAAAAAGATGAAAAATAAAATTAATATTTTTTAAAGACTACGAGATGTCTTATAAAAAAATGATCATTGATTTCTTTTTAAATTATGGCATATAATAAGAACGGGAAAGAGAGAGTATTGATTAAATGAAGTATATTTTGAAAAAATAATATTAAATAAGATAAAATTATTTTTTTGGCACATAAGTAAGATAAAATTAATTAAAATAAATAAATACATTATTTTTTTTTAATCTTATCTTATATTCTCTCAATCACATAATAAATATTATCCTAAGTTGTTATTTTACAGTTTACACAAACGAAGAAAAGCATAAATAGATGAGAGAGAATAATAATTTTACAAAATTAACCTTTTCAATAATTTTTTTTTTGTTAAAAATGATATAATACAATAACTACTTTCAAAAAAAATATTATGATAAAATTAAATAAAAATCATTAATGTTATATTGAAAAATTAACATTACACTTATTTTGACCTTATAAGATAAAAAGATTATTTAAAGGTTAAAATAATTTTAAAATAGATTTTTTAGTCTTCATATTTATCTTTTTCAACTTTAGTTCTTAAACTTGTATTTTTTTTAATCCTTTTAATACTTGATGTTATTGTTTTTAACGTTGTCTCTTTTATGTTGACCGTTGACATAACATAGGTATTAATTCAATTATGTATTTATCGAATTTATTCTACTGAATATACTCAAAATTAGGTTTCTCGACATTTCATATCTTTTTTATACTCTAACCTGTGACTCTCATTATTAAGACACACATTTTTCTACTCTCACTAAATTGAAGACATCTTCCATGTCAATAGAAAGCAAATAATGTTAAAAAAGAAATTAAGGTTAAAATATTTTTTTTCTCATATAATTTCATTTATTTTACCTTTTAATCCTTATAGTTCAAAATAATTTTTTAGTTTGTATATTTATTTTTTCAATTTTTTTTGTCCATATAGTTTAAGTTAAAGGAACTAAAAAATTTAACGATAGAAACTAGAATGATTACAAAACTGTAAGTATAAGGAGTAAAAAAAACATACCTTAAACTATAAAAATTAAAAAAGACTAAAAAAGTTAAATATATGAACTAAAAAAATTTATTTTAAATTATAAGGATTAAAAAATAATATAAAAAAAATTATAGAGACAAAAAATATTTTAGTCAAAAATTAATGATAGGAACTAAAAGGTTAAAAATTATATGCATAAAATTTTTTAAAAAATTATATCACAGTCTAAGAACTAAAATAATGAGAAAAAAAAACCTATTTTAAAATATAAAAATTAAAATGTAAGGCAAATAAAACTACAAAAAGCAGATTACATAATGGTAAGAGATTGGCAGCTCCGATCTGCAAAAACAAATAAATGAGACCCCACTCTCCATAAATGGATAAAAATAGTGGGCTCATTAACGGCTCTTTCTTCAATAATGTACCAATGAAATGAGAAAGTTAGAAGGCAAAAGACACTGTCATTAGAATCCCTCACAAACTCACACCACGTGCATCTTCACCCTTTTCCAATGTGAGTCCCCACCCCACCAATCCCCAACGTCTTTCTAATTTCCATTTCTTGTTAAATGTAGCCGTTATACCTTGTTTTCACACACCATCTTTTCCTTTTAATAAACAACACTTCCTCATCCTATGTTCCTTCCTACCCCTTAACTCTCTCTCTTTCTCTCACTTCATCATTGTGCTCTAATCACACTAGCACTAGCTCAGACAGTACTTGTACTCACAACAACCATGGCTAATGCTCCTCTTCTCCTTTTCCTCCTCTTCTTGTCTCTCTCATCAGGTGTGTGAGTGTGTGTGTCAGATGTTTATTTACTTTTGCTCCAATGTTAGTTAATTATAATGAGGAGAACTCACTCATTATCATTGGTTTGGTCTCTTTATTATTGGTTGTTTTAGTTTGGTTTGTCACAAAAAAACATGGGTTAATTTGAAGGCTTTTCCCACTTTACCTTTCAGATCTGTAATGGGTTTTGTTAATTCTGATGTTTTCAGTTGTCAAAATTGAAATTTTTCTAGTTTATATCATTACATGTCATGTGCAGCATTAGCCAAATGCTTTGAGTTGCTCACTTGATCACAGATCTCAAAGAATCATCACTTAAGAATAGGTTATTAAGTCGCAATTGTGGTTCCAGTGTAATCCTATGTTGTATGCAGCTGCAACTGCAGTCACATGAATTGAAAAACTTTTACGGACCCCAATTTAAAACCATGGTTTCAGCACATTGATGTAATGTGATGTATGCAATTTGGTGATATTATCAAGTCTCTACCTAGATTTTCCCCAAGAGAAAATGAGCTATCATTATTCAAGTGTAGACATTATTACAAACTAACAAACAACACTCTTATTTTCTTTTCTTTTTCCTTCTTTTGGCCAATGCAGGAGGGAATCTGATCATGGCTAATGGACAGGTAACTTACTACAACCATTTTCCTCAAATGTCTTCATAAGAGATTATGATTAAGTAATCTTGTTACTGAACTTAATTTATGGAATCACAGAAAACTTGGTGTGTGGCAAAGCCTTCAACAGACCAGGCTACCCTTTTGGCGAACCTCAATTATGCCTGCTCTCAAGTTGATTGCAGGATTCTGCAGAGAGGCTGCCCCTGCTCCTCCCCTGACAGCCTCATGAACCATGCCTCCATAGCCATGAACCTCTATTACCAATCTAGGGGAAGAAACCACTGGAATTGTGATTTCAGGGCCTCTGGCCTTATTGTTGTCACTGATCCAAGTATGTCACATTCTCATTATCTGGTTTAAAGTTCTAAATTGCTCTCATGAATGAAATTTTGGCTTGATTACTATGAAGTATAAGCCAAGAGTTTAATTTTTAAGAAGGATCCACTAGTCATAAATCGAATTCATGGTAACTACTTTTTAAGATGCCATAAAAGTCAATAAAGTTAGAGAAATGAGTTTTGTCCCCTCTATTTAAAATAGATTTATATTGTCATTTAATCACAAATAAACATATATACTTATGCATGATAAACTTGTTAATTCTTATCATAACTATCTTAAAAGTTATATCAGAGGTGATTTTTGATTGTTTGTCGGTGTAAAAGTTTGAACACTAATAATATATGATCATTAAACATATAAACTTGTCTTACCAGCCATGTCAATTTGTGAGTGATTCATGTCCACTTATTTACTTGTAAACTAATGTACATGTTGCTATGCTTTTTGCGGTGCTAACCCTTTTTTGTGTCATTATAAATTGCAGGTTATGGTAACTGCATTTACGCACAGTAGACTAGTGGAGTATATAAATTGAAGTATATGTGCTCCCATGTAGGCAAATTTTGGTGGTGAATTTTATGTGTTGCTGTAATCTTGTGTTTAGTAAGGTTGCCATTGACAACCAGTAAATATATATGTATGCCGCATTACAAGAAATCAAAATTTGCCCTTTCTTCTTATCTTAGAAATTTCACTAAGCTAATTTCTCAAGGGAATGCTATATGTGATTAAAAAGAACAGTTTGTTAGGGGTGTTCAAAAAATTAAAAAAAAACTGAACTGAATTTAAAATTAGACTGAACCATTTTAAAAAAACTAGAACCAATTATAATAAAACTGAACTAGATTTAATTTTTTAAAATAAAACGAAAAAACTGAACCTATTTTTTTAAAGGTTTGATTTACTAATATATTTGGATTATAGCAATATGGCTCGCTCGCTCGGACTTGGAGACGGAACTCTCACACTCACTCTATCTCTCGCTGCTCAGAGGATGTCCTAGGAGGAGTTTCTTACATTTTGTTGCTTTGGGAATGTTCTTTTGTTCATTAAGATCTTCTGGCAGACCCATATATTTCTTTGGTCCCATATATTTTTTTAAAACATATTAACAATTTATTTAAAACTGGTTTATTTCTTAAAATTGGTTCAAAAACTGGTTTGATTATGAAACTGGTTTTAAATCGATTATAAACCTGTATATTAAAGTAATTCAGTTTTAAATTGATTTGTTAAAGTGGTTCACATAATTTATAAATCAGTTTATTTTATTAAAATAGTGTGGTGCAATTTGGTGCGGTTTTTTTAAAAAACCAAACTATGCACACCCCTACAGTTTATTACTTCATTGGAGATTTAGGGTTTGTAGTGCTCAGAAACATAAAAATAAATCGGTGATGCAATAGCTACCTTGATCATCCCGTAATATACTGTAATACCTTGTTATTTAGATAGCAACATGCATGGATAATTTACTTGTTAGTACGAAACGAATGAATACAATTATGCATGAAACACAGTTTCTATTTATAATCTAAATCTCATTATTCCGGTTTGTAACCATTTGATTTAGGTCATATTTTCTTTCTCACTTGTCTTGCAATGGTTATAATTAAGTAGATTTAGACATATCATAAAATAATGTTTAATTTTTAATTTAATTTAATCTAAAAATAATTAAAGTAAGGTTTGAATGACTTATTTTTTTTTTCTCTTTTCACTTTTACGAGTTTTGCAATTCATTAAACATAATTTCTACATTTGATTGACTTACAATGATCACTCATTTTGCTAAACTTCATTCAATAATTTAAGGTTCACAATTTCTTCCTTGAAATCTTTCACAATGATCACTCATTTTGTTAACCTTAAATTCAATAATTTAGGAATTATAATCTTAAATTTATAGGTAGAACAGACTAAGAAATGAAGGTTTTCTGAGAAAGAAAAATTCAATTGCAAACACCCTACAAAACCCAACAACCTTCTATTTTAATTAGAGCATCCATGACCACAATATTTAAACATGACAAAGTCTTTTATTATGATCCATATTAAGTGATTAGGAAAGAGAAAAACCAATTGAGAGAGATGATAAGTGTCAACTTGATATTCAACGGTTGACTGTTTGAGAAACTAATAGAGTTAGTAACTTAATATAATGAAAGGGCTAACTTGTATAACAAAATTAATTTTTAGGGACCTAGGTGCAACAAAAAAAAATTCAAGATCTATCAGCCATCCCCACCGTCTTTTGAAACCAAATTGTGTGTTTACTCAATTCAAATATATTTCAAATTTTCAAACATAGCTATAATATTTTCATGGACAAAATAAATATTACAAACAATAATAATTAATAATAATAAGTTTTAATATACAAACTCAAATAATCTATCAATATCCAATAAAATAGTAATCACAAAATCACTAATTTAAAAAAATAAATAAATAACATCCAACCGTTTCAATTTTTAAGTACCTCAATAGTCACTATATTTAGTTTACCACACTACAAAATACCATTTCAAATTATAAAATTTCTACATTGGCTAATCAAATGATTTTTTGTCCCAGGAGAGAAATGGAGATTAGCTTTAATGTTTGTATAAGTGATAAAATTTTAACTGGTTAAAAGAATAAAAGTAGTAAACATCATTTTAATTATAGGTGATAATTTAATTTTAATATTAGGTTAGTAGATGTATATATTTGATTATAAGAAAGTGTTTGATATGATTTTGATTGGATAGGATTGGATTGGATTTTTCATTGGAATTGAAAACTAATCCAATTATATTAAAAAAAATTAATTTTTTCAATTTCTGAATTTTTTATTTTTGATTTGCGATTTCTATTGAACTGGATCAATTATGAACAATCCCATTTGGAATAAACAAAAATTTTAAGAGGATTTATCTCCACTAATGAACATTGGGAGTTAGATATTTTGTCGAGGTGTTGCTGGTGGAGAGAAATGAGAGTTGAGATTCTAAGTCTTCTTTACTATTAGAAGTGTTATTTGGGAAGCTTGGATTAGTGGTGGTGTTGAGTTTGTTTAGGTGCAAAGCTTTGAAGCTCAGATTCTCCTTCTTCATCTCCTTCCTCTTCTGTAGTTTTAAGAGTTCAGACTTGAGGTAAGAGAAGTTAGGACAAATTGATTGGTTAATTTGATGAATTGTGTTATTGTTTTCATCAAATGTGGGTATGAATATGAATAAAATCATATTGAATGGTGAAGGGTTTTGGTGCTTTTGGGTGTCAAGGTGAATTTTGGTGATTTTAGTTTATATGGTGTTGCATGTTGAACTTGATCTTGGTTTTGAGTTGTATATGGTTGGTATATGGATTTGGATGCATTGCATGTTTGAGCTAGTTGTGTTTCAAGTGACATTTAGGGTAAATTCTTATCTTAAAAAAAATCACTTTGAAATTTTTGTAAAAAGAGGTGAAAGGTTTCAAGAGTTTTCAAGTCGGAATTCAAACCAAAGAAACTCACTTAACTTGCTCACAAGGACGACAATAATAATGATGAAGGAATAAACTAAAAGTGGATTTGACATGAGTAAATTTTCAAAGACTCCAAAAGGTTTGCATAGCAACCCAACTATTCGGGTGAAGTTGAGTGGAGGCAACATTAAGAACCCTAAGGACACTAGTAAAAAAAGGATTAAAAGGGATAGTGATGTTAAGGTCTCAAAAAAGAGAATTATATATATTAAGGAAATGTTTAGGCTCCTGAAGAGGCATTTGAGCAAAAATATAGCTAGGATTAAGAAATACATCAATTTTACATTTAAATGGGGAAGGGTTTTTCCTCAACAAAAAAGGTAGAAATTTCCAAGATTTACAAAGTTTTCAAGGGTTTTTGAATCATTAAATCAGGAATTTTAGGTAACTACTTCCTCGTTAACCCATTCAAACCTAGATGTTATTTTAGATTTACTATTATACTCCAAAATTGAGTCTTCGACATAAGCCAAGGCCTTGGCTGAGACCTCAACTAGGTCTCGATCACAGTACAAGAAGGTGTATTATGGGATGAAGATGAAGAAAAAGAACTACAAGATGAAGAAAAGGATGAATTTTCAAAATTAGAAGAAGAGTTGCTCATGTTTATCTTGTTAGATAAAAATACTAGATATAGAAGAAGAGTTCTCAACTTCAAAGTAAGAACAAAGAAGTATTCAATCTTAGAATAAGAAATATGGTAAAAATTACTCCTATTTATAGTGAGGTAAAAAAAGGTGAAATGAAAGATCATAGTCATTGGATAAAAAATGAATCAACAAGTGTTATCAAAAGACTCTTTATATGTTCAAAAATTGAAACTCTTCATTTTACGAAGGGATATGAAGTTGTGCTAATTCATAAAAAGGTGTTATTGAAACCATGTTGTCAAAAAAAAAATTTAGTTGCAACATCAAATACTAGGTGAAATGACAAATCTTTTAAGTTTTCTTTGATTTTTAATTAAAAATCTTGAAAGCTTGGGAGACATGTATACTGGAGGGGTTTGACTAAGGGATAAAGTCAAATGCTCCTTGGATCTTATCAAGAACTATATAAGTCTACGAATAACTTAAAAATATTATTAAAGGTAATTAAGTAGATAATGAGTATATCATCAAGGCTCAAACTCAATAAGATTAGTATAAATAGTAACATATTAAAAGAGATAAGGTACCTTTTGCATTTATTACAACATTAATAGCGTTGACTTATTTGAGATCAAGAACTGGCTTAAACATTGAAGTATCTTTTGCAAGTACATATGCTTGAGGATTACTCATCTTAATATTAAAGGTGAAAATAAAGTTTGTATGAGACCCTTCAAATAAATAAAACCAAAGACTATAAAGATATGAAGGATGAAGACTATGAAGCTAAAGACTTATTGGATGAAGACTTGAAGTGATAAAATTACATGTTTACTCATGTGTAGGTACATTTATTATTTTATGATTTGATTTAGAAACAAATAACGGTTATTGTAATTTAGAATAATATTATAAACAAATCATGAAAAATAAAAATTAAGAAAATGAAACCAACACTAAAATTATACTAAATTTAATTAAAGTATTATTTAAATATTTTTTATAATTTTTTTAACCATAGTATTTATATGATGTATTTATTATCAAAATTAGTGACTAATCTCTGTTAGAAATTGTGAAAATATTGTTGGTAATTTTTTTTATATATTATATCATGATGATATGAATTTTTTTACTCAAATAATACATTTTAAAAAAAAATTACCCAAATAGCAACTTTGCAAATTTATTTCCCCAACTAGCACCATTTACTGTTCATTTTTTATTTATTTATTTTTTTCGCGCTTTGGAACGGCCCGTTCTACTTGAACATGCGTTAATTTTGCATCTGAAACGACCCGTTCCAAAGTTAGAACGGGCCGTTCTGACACCTAGAATGGACAATTCTAAAACCAGAACGGGCCGTTCTAAACTAGGATTTTAGGCCTTTTTAGAAGTTTGGAACGGGCCGTTCTGGTTTTGGAACGACCCGTTCTAGGTGTCAGAACTTTCCATTATAAATACCTTCACTTTCACCACAAGTTTCACCTTCACTTTCACCAACCAAATTTATCAAAGTTATCAAAACACTAACCCACTCTTCTTATGATATTTCTTCCAACCATGACGTTGAGTCATAC